TAATCTTTCGGCCGCCTTAGAAGCCAGAACACTACCACCATCACCGAGATCGGGATGGTCTTCCCTCTGTGGAGGCACACCGCCGATTTGGCGTTGGTGTCTACTCCAGATTTCGTAATAAAAGGGAGGGGGTCTGGACCCTCCAAGACAAGCCATTTCAGACCTCCCCCGTGGGAGAACCCTCCAAAACATCGTCCCCAGACCCCCCCAGGCCCTCCAAGCTAGCCTGGAAGAGACCCGCCCCGAAACGAGACCCCCCTCCCTTTATTACGAAATCTGGAGTAACCCCTAGGCCTGCGACATCAGGAGACAGCAACACGCGCCCACGGGCCTGCGGTCACCCTCCTGCGTGAGCGGCCTCAGGAGCTGCTCCAGCCCCCTGCTGCCGCCGATGCTGGCGCTGACGTGGCACAGATATCTCGGCGGGGAGGGGAGGAGGAGGAGGAGGAGGAGGAGGAGGAGGGAGGAGGAGGAGGAGGAGGAGGAGGAGGAGGAGGAGGAGGAGAGGCAGGAGGAGGAGGAGGAGGAGGAGGAGGAGGGAGGAGGAGGAGGAGGAGGAGGAGGAGGAGGAGGGAGAGGAGGAGGAGGAGGAGGAGGGAGGAGAGGAGGAGGAGGCGAGAGGGAGGAGGAGGAGGAGGAGGAGGAGAGGGAGGATGGAGGAGGAGGAGGAGGAGGAGGAAGAGGGAGGAGGAGGAGGAGGAGGGAGGAGAGAGGAGGAGGAGAGAGGAAGAGGAGGAGGAGGAGGAGGAAGAGGAGGAGGAGGAGGGAGGGAGGGAGGCAGGAAGGGAGGTAGGGAGGGATGGAGGAGGAGGAGGAGGAGAGAAGAAGAAGAAGAAGGGCCCGGACCGCCAGAGCCCCTCCAAGCGCGTCGCTAAGTGCGGAAGCATGGTCTGACGAGTTCGGCCCCGTGAGGCCCTGCTCCAGCTCGGGGGAGGCGACGTCGCAGAATACAAGCTGAGGGAAAGTGGTCCTCGGAAGGGGTTGGGAGCGCAAGGGTCCACGCATTGAACACCGAGGGGCAAGGGGGGGGAAAGGAAAGCAGGAGGTGGTGGCGGAGCGAGGAGCGCGGCGGCCTCATCCTCGCTCCTCCTCCCCCTCCTCCGCCCAGTCGCTCAGTCCGCGCGCGCGCGCCTGACCACGCCGTCGAACATGAGACGATCGGACTGCCTGCTCAGCTCGAGCTGGAAAGCGCTGAACATGAGGTAGACGCGGTTCGAGAAGTCTTCGATGCGCTGGCGGGAAGGGACGAGTGAGACACATTTGCTCTGGCAGTCAGCTCTGCCACGGCCGACGAGCCGCTCACCCTTCGCCTCCTCTTCCTCCTTGTCATCATCCTTCTCCTCCTCGTCCTCATATTTCAGTGCAGCATTGTTGGAGAAGGGTGCATGACAATCATGAGATGATACCGCGAAACCTCACCAGCTGGACGCGCGCACACCGCGTGCGAAAGCGTCTGGTCAACATGAACTGAGCCTACAAACCTATTGTTTCCTTTTGTTATTGTCCTCCTCTGCATATTCCACTTTCTTTTCCTCCTGATTCTCCTCCTCCTCCTCTTTCTTGTCCTCTTGTTCCTGCTCCTCCTCTGTCCGTCTCCTTTCGCTACGTATTTCCTGCTCTTTCTTCTTGTCCCCTTCCTCCTCCTACTCCACCCTCCTTCTCCTCCTCCGCGGCGCACGCTCGGGATTCGGCCTCCCGCCCAGTGGCAGGCCAGAAGGACAACTGACCTGTCACTGGGACGCCTCTGGGTCCCAGTGGCAGGCCGACCTCGGCACATTCGCCAAGGACGTGCTCCGGATAAGGATGCGTGCTTCCGGCAGCGGGTCAGTAGGCATGGGCGTCGCATGACGGGGGAGCGACAACATCGGGGGCGGCCAAGAGGGGGGCGTCCACGAGGGGGGGGTGCAAATCATGGCCGGCGGCATGAGCGCGGCCCAGCGGGGGGCCGAGGGACGTCACGAAATCCGAAGAGGCGCCATGAAGTCGGGGGAAATGTCATGGCCCACGCCATAATATCCCCCCCCCAGTCATCACCCCCTTCTTTTCCGCCCCCGACAAAAGAAGGGGGGAGAAAGGTGCACACTCCGGGCCGTCAACGCCCTTCTGTGGGCGTCCCTCGGAAGGCCCTGGTAAATCGGCCCATTCCTCGGCGACCTGGTCCCCTTGGAGGGCCCGGGTAAACTTGCCCCAGGTCCCTTGGAAGGGCCCTTTTGCAGCCCTCCCCGCTCCAAAAAAAAAAACTTTCCCCGGTAAACTGGTCCGTTCCCCCGGTGAGCTGGTCCACTCCCGGGCGGGAGGTTCTGAGGGTTCCTTGGCAGCTGCTCATGTGCCCCTCGGCAGCTTGTCAGGCGCCCCTTGGCAGCTTTCAAAGTGTTCCCCGACAGCTTTCCAGGCGCTCCTCGGCAGCTTTTCAGGAATTCATGGGCATCTTTTCAAGCGTTCCGTGGCCGCTCCTCGGCAGCTCTTCAGGCGCTCCTCGGCCCTTGGCAGCTTCCAAGGCGCTCCCTCGCAGCGTTGTAAAGCGTTCCTCGGCAACTTGTTAGTGCTCCTTGGCATTTGTTCAAGCGTTCCGTGGCCGCTCCTTCGCAGCTCTTCAGGCGTTCCTTGGCAACTTCGAAGGCACGCCTGGGCAGTTTTTAAAGCGCTCCTCAATGTCATTTGGCAGCTTGTAAAGGGCTCCTTGACAACGTGTCAGGCACTCCTTGGCAATTGTTCAGCCGCTCCTTGACAGCTTGTTAAAAACGCTCCGTGGCATCTCTGAAGGCGCTCCCTGGCGGTTTGTATGACGCTCCTTGGCACCTGCTCAAGCGTTCCTCGCCAGCTTTGGAAGCGCTCGCTGGCAAAGTTTAAAGCACTCCCTGGCATCCTTTGGGGCGCTCCTCACGGAGCAGATTTGGGACTCCCTCGTAGCAGTCTTGGGGGCCCCCTTGGGCCGTGGCTGGGCCGTTGTCCTTGAACTGGTTACTGCTGCCTGCTGCTGCCTCTTCTGATGCTGGGCGGCCGCTCGCCAGGTGCGTGCCTCGCCACGCCCGCGCGGCGGGCGGCGAGGTGGAGACGGGCCCGGCGTCGAGGCCGATGCAGGCGGAGGGGGAGAAGGAGGAGGAGGAGGAGAAGGAGGAGGAAGAGGAGAAGGAGGAAAGGAGGAGGAGGAGGAGGAGGTCTCTAAGGCCGTCTTGTAAGCTTCTTGGGTTACCCTGTGGGCGCACACTCGCTCGTCGACGTCTTCGTGGCGCAGGCCATCACGAGGAGGAGCAGGATGGAAAGAGGGGGGGGGAGGAGGAAGAGGAGGAGGAAGAGGAGGAGGAGGAGGACGAGGAGGAAGAGGAGGAGACGGAAGAGCAGGAGAAGAAGGAGGAGGAAGTGGAGAGAGGAGGAGGAAGAGGAGGAGGAAGAAGAGGAGGTGGAGGAGGAGGAAAACGAGGAGGCGGAAGACAAAGAGGCGCGTCGGACCACGAGGAAGATCGATGAGGAGTGAGGGGGGACGAGGGAGGAGAGGGAAGCTGGAGGACGCAGGGCCTTTCTCGTCGTCGCCCTTCGTCGTCGTCGTCGTCGTCAGTCTTTAAGCGTCGTCGTCCTCGTCCTCGTCCTCGTCGCCACTTGTTCTGGTCGTCGGTCGTCGGCCGCCACCGCCGACGCGTTCTCTCACGCGCGCACACGGCCCACCAAAGAGGTGAGGACGGGAGGAGGGGAATCGGGAGAAGGGTCGGATGGGGGAGAATGAGGAGGAGCACGAGGGACAGAGAAAGATGAATCACTCCTATAGAGACGCGATCGCCGCATTGGGACTGCCTTGGGTTCCTGCGGGGTAGTATCGGTAACCCACTGGAGCTCTCATGGGGCCCTCTGGGGCCGTCTTGGGGTTTGCGTGTCAGTCGTAGGGACTTTTGGCCGTCTGGCCCGTCCTGAGTCGTCTAGGAGCCCTCTTGCACCGTTCTGAGGTCGATGTGGAAACATTTGCATGTAGTTTTCGAGCGCATCTTCACTGATCGCTGTCATCCGTTGCGGACGTTAACACAAGGAGGAGGGGGAACGTGGGACGAGGAGGAGGACCAATGAGAAGTAAGGGGGGAAATATGATGATGATGATGATGATGATGATGATGATGCTGATGATGATGATGATGATGTTGATGATGATCATGATGATGATAATGTTGATGATGATGATGACGATGATGATGGTGGTGATGATGTTGGTGGTGATGATGGTGATACTGGTGATGATGACGCTGGTGATCAGGCTCACGATCGTGATGTTGCCGACGAATAGCACAACGATGATGACGAGTGTGATGATGATGATGATGCTGATGATGATGATGATGATGATGAGGATGATGATGCGCATGGTGATGCGGGGGCTGGAATGAAGATAAAGAGGAGACGAACGAAGGCGAAAATGGTTGTCACATGTGACGCCTGTTTGCCCCCAATGTTTGAGGAAGTCTCTTGGCCGTTGCCGTCGGCGGTCTCGGAAGCTTGGGGGGAGGAGGAGGGGAAGGAGGAGGAGGAGGAGGAAGAGGAGGAGGGGGAGGAGGAGGGTGGAGGAGCAGCTTCCTGCGATAAGCATAACACTCGAATGGCCCTCGGCCCACTCCGCTGCCGCGCCGGGGCTATGGGAGCTGAAGGGCCGTGCCGCCCGTGTTGCTGCGGATGCTGGGCTGTCTCTCGGGGGCCTGGGGCAGGACTGTTGGGGGCCTCTTCGGCCCTCCTGAGGGCCTCTTCGGGGCCTGTCCGGGGCGCCCCAGGCGCCTCTGAGAGGCTATCGGGCCATCTGGGAGCGGACAATTAGTTCAACATGGGGCTCTCCCTGCGGGAATCCTCTTGTAAAGGTTTCAAATGCAACGTGGTGTACGTGTTGCCTGCATGGCGATACGTCCTGCCTGCATTGTGCGCACGATAGACGCAATGTCTGGGCTTTTGTTGTGTACGGCTCGCTGGCGTGTCGTACGCCAGGTGTGCCCGTGTTGATACTTTGTGCGCACGTTCTGTGCACGCTGTAGACAATGGCAAAACCTTACTTTACGCATGCATGTTGTATGCCCTTCGCTTGCGTGTCGCACGCACCCCTCGTGCTTGAATACGTGTCGTGCACGGGTCGTGTACTTTCCATATACGTTTCGTATACGTGTTGGATAACTCTTCCACGCCTTTGATACGTGTGGCGCCCGATTGTCGCGACCGTGTCGTATGCTGTGCCTGATGCGTGTTTGGGTCGTCTCGCATACGCTTCGCAACAACGCTTAACAAAATTGATGCAATACGTGTGCTACGCGTGTCGGGTCTGTCTCGGGTCCATGCTGTGCGCGTTTCGTCGACGTTCAAGGTGCGTTTTTCTTACGTCCTGTATACGTTGTGTGTACGTGCAGGGAGTGTTCGGGACCGTACTGGAAACGTTTCGTGCACGTCCCACGCAAGTGTCGTGCATGTCGTAAACGTTGTCCGTGCTTTGCGCGTTCGCATACATTCCGTAGACGTACTGCGTACGTTCCAAATGCGGTTCGCATACACACTTCATGCGTTGCGTAGGCGTGCCATACACGGTCGCCCGGTTTAGTGTGCTTTGCGAATACGTGTCGCGTGCGTTCTGCGTCCGTTTCGTATGCGTACAATACATGTGTCGTACCCACTCGCATATGCGTCCCAAATTTCCGTCAAACAAAATTTCGGAATCATCCAAATACGAACCATTCGTTCTTCGTTACACATGCGCTGCGTAGGCGATCTGATTCGCTTCACGTACGTTTAATGTATTGTAGTTTCCGTGTCACAGACGCTCCATACATGTATCCTGTTATTGACGCTTACGTTTCACCAACAATTCAAATCAACAACATAAACGTTTATGTATGCTCACTTTGTAGTGGTATTGCTTCTACACTTGTTGTCATGAGTATACCTAATTGGACAAATACCATCAGCACTACCACGCGCACCGATTGATACGTTTCCCGCTGGCTGTTTGGAGAAACTGAATGGTTGCACAGAAGCCTACTAGTTCGGTTGTCAGACCGTTCCAGGACGACCCCGTTCGAAACACTCGCCATCGTAACGCCCGCAAGCCTCGCGGGCTCTCCCATGGGTTGACTCGCTCGGATGTACCACGCCCTGTAGCACCGCTGAAAAATAAAAATACACAAAAGCGCATTGCGATGTTGTTATATGATATTATTATATTATATTAATATTATAGTATAGTAATGTATCCTTAATGTGATATAATAATATTATT